CATCTTGGAACACCCATACAGTCGACTGCTGCTTACTTTCGGCTGCTACATACGAATATATCCATGATTCGTCACCTGTCACGATTTTATAAACGTCTTTTGAAGCACCGCGATTGTATTTCTTAAGCATTTCTTTGCACTAATCGACACGAGCCTTTTTTTGAGCGATTGTCAAATTATGTGGGATCCAACGCAAACATAACTTTCGCACAGCTACCATAAGTGTTCATGTAAAATCGCATATATGCTGGTGGAACTAATGCTTAGAGATGCCTCAATCTCACAATAGGTTACATGACGATCTTGCTTAATCATTTCGTGCACAGCATCGATGTTTTCTGGCACTACAGTCGATTTTGGACGACCTTCACGAAACTCGTCGGACAGCGAACTACGACCTCGATTGAATTCACTATACCAGCGATACACAGTGGTTTTTAATGGAGCTTTATCGCCAAAAGTCAAATTAAGTTGATTGACGCACTCTTGTTGTGATAATCCACGTCGAAAGTCGTAAAAAATCATCGCACGAAAATGTTCACGATTCAGTTCCATTTTTTGCCGAGACGAAACTTTCAACTAAATATAAAATAAACAAATAGCGTCCGTATGACAAAATGTTCTGAGTACGTATATCGTCAAAAATGTCAAACTTTACGATGGAACCGTCAGATGGACTCACATGACATCAGTGTTGCCAATTCCCGAAATATAAATAGTGACCCTCGTATTAAAGATCGAACAATTTTCTAATTTAACCATTCTCGTCATTGCCTAAACCTAAATTAGTATAACATCCTACAACTTTGAGGGCTCGTCCGGGATTTGGCAAGCGGCGGGGGGGTTCGAGGTCGAGAAGATTCGATCTTCCCGGAAGTGAATACGTGGCAGGAGATAGTGAAAAAAAAAATGTCGGAAGAGTGTATTTTGACGGTAGCGGAATTGAAGGAGAGACTGAAGGCGCGTGGATTGCCGACGGCGGGTGTCAAGACGGAGCTAATTTTGCGATTGCAAGCATCCGATCCGACGGGTTCCTGGATGGAGAGCGGAGAGTCTGGCGGTGGCGCGGATGAGAGGAACGAGGCGCGGGAGAGCGTTTCGCAGGAGAGAGGATTGCGAGAAAACACCCCGCGAGAGAGTATGTCGCGGCAGGAGATTGAGCTCTATAAGCGGGAAAGAGAGCTTGCTAAGCGCGAGCTTGATCTCACACGGCGCGAAATTTCGTTATTGCGTGGACAATTGGAAGGAAATCACGCTGGCGGAACGATGGAGGCGGAGATGCTTGGTGATGGAGAGGCATCTCGCACGCGACCACGAGTGAACTTGACGACGGTGGCTGATTTGTTGAGTGATTTCGACGGCGTTTCCAGTAATTTCGATACCTGGGAGAAACGACTGAAGTTCCTGAAGACGGCCTACCAGCTGGATGATGATTGCGCGAAGCTTTTGCTCGGAATGCGGTTGAAAAAACGAGCGTTTGAATGGTTTCATTCGAAGCCGGAGTACATCGAAATGTCCTTCGAGAGGCTTCTGGAAGAGTTGGGAACCATGTTTCGATACCGTGAGAGCAGATTACATTTGCGCAAGCAGTTCGAGGGTCGTACATGAAAGAAGGACGAGACGTTCCAAGAATACCTGCACGAGAAGACTATCATGGGCAACAAAGTACCAGTCGAGAAGAACGAGCTACTGGAGTACGTTATCGAGGGAATACCGGACGTCACGATGCGCGATCAGGCGCGCATCCAGGGATTTTCATTGGTGGATAGCCTATTGAGGGCATTCGAGAGGGTAGCGTTACGCGACCGTGGAGTGGCGAGTTCGAGTCGGCATAGCGGTGATAAGGTAGTAAGCGACAAAAGGAAGAAAATTTCGACGGACGTTAAACGCTGCTTTAATTGCGGCGAGCGCGAACATGTCGGCGCAAATTGCTCGACGAGGGCCCTCGGAGCTAAGTGTTTCGGATGCGGGGCGCGCGGTCACATAGCTTCTAAATGTCCGAAAAAAAATAATAACGGTGCGGAAAAATCTGTTGTCGCGTCGATCTCGCGAACGCTGCATAAAAAATATATGCAAGAGGTGACATTAGGCGGCCGAGTCATTACGGCATTGATGGACACCGGAAGCGATATATCGATATTACGAGCAAGCGAATATGCGAAGATGGGGTCACCGAGAATGCGAGCGGTAGATACGGAATTCTGCGGGATAGGCGGTTTTAGTGCAAAAATATTAGGAGAATTTCGAGCGAATGTTCTGATCGGTGCGCATACGTATTCGATATTATTCGAGTCGCGTCCGATATCGTCATGCCATACGATTTGATTATTGGCGCGGATTTTATAGATATTAATATTAAGTAAGTAGAATTTAATATTAAAAAGGCGTAATGTCGATTAGTCCTATCTGCGAATTAACGGCCGACGAGTCACGACCTGAAATATTTACGATCGATGTTGACGGCCCGGATACAGAAATAGACGTCGGTGTGTTTACTAAAGTCGAACACAAGCGTATTGTCGCGGGCTTGGTAAATAATTATAAGCCGCTTTGAGCACAAGATACAGATGTTAAAATGACAATTATTTTGAAAAATGACGAACCTGTTTACCAAAAGGCCAGACGACTTTCACAATATGAAAGAAATATTGTAAATATTCAAATCGATGAGTGGAGAAGAGAGGGTATAATACGGGAATCTGTCTCTGATTTTGCCAGCCCTGTCGTACTTGTAAAGAAAAAAAATGGTTCGCATAGATTATGCATAGATTATAGAATGCTAAATAAAAAATAATTAAAGACAGATATCCTTTTCCCCTTATCGAAGACCAATTAGATCAATTGCAGGACGCGAGAGTTTTTAGTACGATCGATTTAAAGAGTGGGTTTTTCCACGTGCGAGTGGCCGAGTCAAGCGTTAAATATACATCTTTTATTGTGCCGGACGGACAATACGAATTTCTAAGAGTCCCCTTTGGTTTATGTAATTCTCCTTCCGTCTTTCAAAGATTTATTAACGTGATCTTTAGGGATCTAATAAAACGGAAAATTGTATTAATATATATGGACGACTTAATTGTACTTTCAAATAACGAGGACGACGGATTAAAAAATCTGAAGATTGTGTTAGATACCGCAAGTCAGGCTGGTTTGAAAATAAATTGGAGAAAATGTTGTTTTTTGCGTCGCAAGGTGGAGTTCCTCGGACACGTCGTTGAGGAAGGTACGATACGGCCGTCGGAAGAGAAAATTAAAGCGGTTTTATGTTTTCCGGAGCCCGCAAACATGCGACAGGTGCAGTCTTTTCTGGGCCTGAGCGGTTATTTCCGTAAATTCATTTCGGGTTACAGTATGATCGCGCGTCCGCTGTCAAACCTGTTAAAAATGGAGGCGAGGTTTCAATTCGGTGCAGCTGAGAGAAATGCTTTTGAGCGGTTAAAGATCATGCTGAGCGAGAGGCCAGTATTGACTTGTTTCGGGTAGGTAGCGCAGAAACCGAATGCATACCGACGCATCCATGTACGGTTTCGGGCAATACTCTTGCACAAAAGACAGCGAAGATCAATTATTGCACCCAGTATACTACGTGAGTGGCAAGACTACCCCGGCGGAAGAAAAATATCCGAGCTACGAACTTGAGGTCTTGGCAATTGTTAAAGCGCTAAAGCGATTTCGCACGTACCTATTAGGTATAAAATTTAAAATAATTACCGATTGTCGAGCGTTCGCACAGACAATGTCAAAGCGAGACTTTGCGTGCGGGTAGCCAGATGGGCATTAGCATTAGAAGAATTTCAGTACGAGAGATAGAGCATAGGCCCGGCAAAAGCATGACGCATGTTGATGCTCTTAGCCGTAATCACTGCCGATGTGTTGATAGCGAACGAGTGCGAGAGGAGGAATGCTTGTGCGATTAAAGAAACCAGGGGGGAGTGCGGACAGCGATCTAAGAGAAATATTTGAGCGATTGAACGAGGTTGTTCGGAGGGTTATTGATTCGAGGTGGAGATTGTACAGGAAAATAATGGCGACCTTAGATTAGTCGTTCCTAAGGCCATGCAGTTGCAGATGATCCAGAAGATGCACGAGCAGGGACACCTTGGAATCGCGAAGACAGAGGCACTGGTGAAGAGGGACTATTGGATCCCTAAATGCGTCCCAAGGTCGAGGGTGTTCTGCGAAACTGTATCCCGTGCATCCTGGCGGAGCGAAAACAAGGAAAGGCTGAATGCTTTTTAAGCCCGGATTGCAAGGGAGATGCGCCACTGGATACTTTTCATATCGATCACGAAGGCTCCTTGCAATCAACAAAGAAAAAGTTACGCCATATTTTTGTTGTGGTGGATGCATTTTCAAAATTCAATTGGTTATACGCAACCAGATCGACGGGCATAGCAGAAGCAATCGAGCGACTACGAAAACAGGCACATATATTCGGTAATCCAAGAAGGATTATATCAGATCGAGATACAGCCTTACATCGAAGGAATTTGAAGAATACTGTCAATCAGAAAGTATCGAACATCAACTGATAACCAGGGAGTGCCCC